GTGGTGGTGGTGGTGTAAACAGGAGACAATGTCAAGGAGTCCATGTAGAAAAAGATCGTTTGGACACTGTGGTAAATTGTACACTAGACATAATTGTGGTAAATTCTACTAGACATGATTGAAATATGGAAGGATATATGTATTAAATCCTAACGAATTAAAAGAAACTGGGAAAAATGCAGAAAGCACAAAAAGACTACTAAGGTAATCCTCACTGACATAATTCTTTCATAATACTCAGATACTCCAAGTAGTTATCTACTGCTATGTCATAGTGCCCCTTTCAGAAGGTCCTCTTCTTCAGAGTTATTAATTTATAGAGTGTAGCCATACAGTAAGGGCAGGTAACTTAATCCTTTAACGACTGAATTTTGACAAACAAAATTTTCTGCTTTGAATTTTGTTTGTCAAAACCATGTTTTCAGAAATGAAAGGTCTTTTGAACAAATAAAAACGCATTTCCCCCCACCCCCCCACCCCGATTTCAGTGGGAGGTTTTACAGATATTATAATCCATAGTTCAACTCGATCAAGCACTATACAATTGCTGCCACCATCATTTTCAAATCATTTTCTTTCTTCTTGCACTCTTTAATATCAGCTCGTCTTTATCCCTACCTCCCCCTTAGGAACCCATTATTATATTAAATATTATGATTATTTCTTCCCCCCCCTTTTTTTTTTTGCTGTATCTTATACCATCCAATGTATCTATTCACCTATCATTCTGTTATTCATTCCCCTACAGTGGAGTTACATTATAGTCATCATTGTTATCAGTTCCCCTCTTCCTCCCCACACCCTTGTCGTGAAAAAAGCCTTTTTTTTTTTTTTTTTCAGGTAATAAGGATTTTGACAGAATTAGTAGGACATCTGTTTCCTGAGAATCCCTAGGGTGGCTGGTGGGATGAGGTCATGTCTTCAGATTCCGAAAGAAGCAAAAAAAGTAGGTGAACATTCTTTTTCCCAGGGCCACAGAGCCTTACAATGCCTAGGTACAATGTCTTCTACACAGGAGGAAGTACTTAAATAGGAAATTTAAAAGTATTAACAAAATATTGTAAATTCTCAAGTGTTTTAAAATACTAACACCTAAAAATAGCCAGTACTTGCATCCTAATGCCCCTAAGATAAGGTGCCCAGATTTTAACATTGGTAAAGTGGGACACCATTGATAAAATTCATATCCTGGCAAAATAGCCACATGGCAGCTGAAAACCGTATACCCTAGCCTGTTGTGCATTCTTTCCAAAAATCGGGACTTTTTTAGAACGCCGCGGGACGCGGGGAAAAACTTAAAAATCGGGACGTCTGGTCACCTTACCCTAGGAAAATCTCTGGGTCTGTTTGCAATTTGTTACTGAAAGCAACAATCTCTGCCTTCACGGCTACTGTCTGAGTTGAAATACCTAGTTTAGTACGGAATCACTGCAATGGCGTTGCAGAGGTCAGGGAACTTGGGAACACCATCACAAAACACGAGATGTCAAGACTGCAAGCCTTCATCATTCATTCACACCTTGAATTAAAACCTATTTTGCTCCAGACACCAGGAGGCCTCAATAGGATAAAATGACTTGCCCAAGGCACACAGCAATTCCAGTAGCAGAGCTGGGGAGAAGCCTACAACTTATACCAATCTTTCCTAACAAAACAACACAAATAGTTCATGATACTTCGACCAGTTTTGAGTAGCCTACATTCTATTTTTAACTTAGGTTTTTATTAGTATCACCTGCATAGATTTATCCAATTTAATTTTCCAAATATAAATCCTTAAAAAAAATTTCTCTTAAACATTCTGAACCAAAGCTGAAAGCTAAGAGTGGTCAATACAAGACCTAAATCTAAATATTTTTTATTACTACAGCATTTTTGACTTTTACTATCAAGATGAATTTAGCCTCTTCTTTCTGGCCTTTTCTCCTGTCCTGTCTCCTTTCTGGCTTGTCTCCTCAAGACAGCTTGAGGGAACTCTTGCTCATTTCCACTCTTCCCCTGTTGGTCACCGTTTTCTCAGTGTTACACAATTTTGAAATACGTAGCTTTCTTACCTGCAGACACCAAGACAACTGCTGTGAACAAACTCATCTCTTCCTCACTCAGCTGGAGGGCGTTCAGCTTCTCACTGAACTCAGACATGGAGTTGAGTAGGTCTCCAGCTCCCATTGAGTGCAAATCATCCACACGATACTTCTTTCCACTTAGAAAGGTGACAGTGCGCTCCTTTGCATCGAATAATGATGCAAACCGGACCATTAAGACCTGGGGGGGGGGAGACAGCGGTCAGTGTAAGACATGAAAAAATTATAAATTATTAAGGGTTCATGGGGGAGGGGGGGGGGGAGGGAAAAAAATACTTATATTCAGAGAAGCATAGTAATACTACTGAAACAGCTCAGTATTCAAGTCAATCAAGTAATATACTACATAAAAAATTGGTTTTGAAGATTAAGTTTATTCTTACCCAGACCTATCTTTTTTTTTTAATCATTGTATTGGGGGCTCTTACCGTTCTTATCACAATCCATACATACACCAATTGTGTCGAGCACATTTATACATATGTTGCCATCATCATTTTCAAAACATTCTCTTTCTACTGGGGCCCTAGTTATCAGCTCATTTTTCTCCCTTACCCACCATCCCTCACTCATGAACCCGTGATAATTTTTCTTTTATTTTTCATGTCTTATACCAACCGCTGTCTCCCTTCACCCACTTTTCTGTTGTCCGTCCCCCTGGGAGGAGGCTATATGTAGATAACTGTGATCGGTTCCCCGTTTCTACCCCACCTTCCCCTTACTCTACTGGTATCACTACTCTCATTACTGGTCTTGAGGGGTTTAGCAGTCCTGGATTCCCTGTGTTTCAACCTCTTACATGTACCAGTGTACATGCTCTGGTCTAGCTAGATTTGTAAGGTAAAAGTGAGGTCATGATAGTGGGTAGGAGGAAATATTAAAGAACTAGGAAAGTTGTGCTACAATGAGCCATTTTCTTTTTTTTCCTTACATCTCTTAGCACAATCCATACGTTCATCCAGTGTGTCAAGCACATTTGCACATATGCTGCCATCATCATTTTCAAAGCATTTTCTTCCCACTTGAGCCCGGTATTAGCTCCCCATTTCTTCCCCCTCCCTCACAAACCCTTGATAAGTTATAGATCATTATTTTCATATCTTACATTGTCCTCCGTCACCCCTCACCCACTTTTCAATTATTCATCCCCCTGGGAGGGGGTTATATATTGAGCTTTGTAATTGATTCCCCCTTTCTCCCCTCACCTTCCCCTAATCCTCCTGGTCTACTCTCATTGTTGGCCCTGAGCGGTTTATCGGTCCTGGACTCCCTGTGTTTCGGGCTGTTATCTGTAGCGGCGTGCATGTTCTGGTCTAATCTGATTTATAAGGTAGATATGAGGTCATGGTAGTGAGAGGAAGGAAACACCAAAGAACTAGAGGAAAGTTGTGTTTCATCAGTGCTATACTGCACTCTGACTGGCTCATCTCTTCCCTGTGACCCCACTGTGAGGGGATGTCTAATTGTCTATAGATGGGCACTGGGTCTCCATTCCATGCCCCCCCACCCCAATTTACATTGGGTATGATTTTGTTCTGGGTCTTAGATGCCTGATAACTGATCCCATCGACACTCTCATGATCACACGGGCCGGTGTGTTTCTTCCATGTGGGCTTTGTTGCTTCTCAGCTAGATGGCCGCTTGTTATATCTTCAATCCTTTAAGACCCCAAACATATATCTTTTGATAGCCAGGCACCATCAGCTTTCTTCACATTTGCTTATGCACCCATTTTGGAAGAAACATTTTCTTAAGGCAGTTTTTACCAAAGCAAGGTATACTCAAGATATACTCACAGGCCCTGTGACATTCTGAAATTCTTATTAATAGAAATTTTGCAGTGCAAATATAAAACTAAAGTAGGCAGTAATGCCAATAAGTATCCTACACAAACACATTAAAGAAACACTTTGGCCACCAAGCATGGTCTCTAAGCCCTTTAAAAAAAAACTACAGATAAGAGCTCGAAACACAGGGAATTCAGGATAGATAAACCCCTCAGGGCCAACAATGAGAATAGAGATACCAAGAACATAAGGGGAAGGTGGGGGGAGAAAGAGGGAATCGATCACAAGGATCAACATATAACCCCCTTGCAGGGGGACGAACAACAGAAAAGTGGGTGAAGGGTGACAGAGGACAATGTAAGATATGAAAATAATAATCTATAACTTATCAAAGGTTCATGAGGAAGGAAGGGAGAGAGGACGAGGGAGGGGGAGGAAATGAGCTGATATCAAGTGCTCAAGTAGAAAGAAACTGCTTTGAAAACGATGACAGCAACTGTGTACAAATGTGCTTGACACAATGGATAAATGTACGGATTGTGATGAGATGTAAGAGCCCCCAATAATAGTAGTTAATAAAAAAGAGAGAGAGAGAGCAGCACTGTGATGAAGCACACTAGGAAACATTAAGATGCCAAACACAGACACAGTGACACACTAGCATGGACTCTATTTCAATATGCCCAAACTCAAAGAACTACAATGAAAACACGACAATAAAAGTGTTGTATGCATTGAGTTATAATTAAAACTAAATCAAATCATTCAACAATTATATATTATTTACCTACAGCACCCGCTCTATTACATTAAATGGTGGTATTTATGTAAGACAAATTTCTCTCATAACCAGAACTGGAAATAAAAACAAAGATTTGTTTTAACCAAAAAAGTGAGCCTACTATTAAACTGTGGCTAATTGTGGGAAACAGCAATCCTAGACAAATCACAAGTAGAAAGACCGCAAGTCCTGGAGTCCAGGAACCTGTGCTGCAGTCGTGGGTGCAATATGAAGTTACTGGTCTTTTTCACCTCTCTGGGCTTCAGTTACCTAACCTCCAGAATGAATAACATATACTTGATCATTAATGTCCATCTGGCTTTGAAACACAAGGCTCATGTTTTCCTTTAAAGTGAAGATCCTGACTTAGAAGCTGTATTTTTTTACTCCATAGCTATTATATTTATGACATATGTAGCTTATTCTCTATCATAACTAGGCCTAAGGTCCCTAGAAAACAAGGCTTGCAGCAAAAGCTTATGTGAGATATGCACTGGCTCTGAGAAAACTAGAGGGAAAGAAAAAGAAATGAAGCAGGAAGGAAAGATAGTAAATATTCATGTGCATGACCGAGCTGGTCACAAGCTGACACCAAGAGCAACCACTCATTCAATCCTGTGAAACCTTCCAGGAAAGTAGCCCCTGGCAGGCAGCTGCTCATTCTGCCTGTAGAACAAAGCTGCAGAAACGTGGGTCACCAGATATCAACTCCCCACCCTACCCTTTCCAGGTTGTGCATAAGTGAGTTCTGCGCATGACCTGCGATTTCTCACACCCCTGTGGTAAAAGGGAAGTTGAAGGTGGACAGAGAGAGAGGCACAGGCTGCCTCCTCAGGGAGGGAGCTGCCCCAGCAGAAAGCATCACTGCAAGAGAAGCTGGAATCAAAATAGAAGCTACAGTTCCTCGAGTGAAGTAAGATTCCAAAGGTCCCAGGTGGCAACTCTGAAGTGTCCGACATGATTGCAAAATGTTCTATAATCTCCTAATGCACAACCAAAAAGCCATATTCTAGGCACCCTTCTTATTCTATATTGAGAATAGTTCATCGCAGACTTTCATTAGATGTCTAACACTGCGGAAACCACAAAGTCACTCCTGAAAACAATATTAACACACTCCATCCATTTCACACCTTGAGTAAGTCAGAATTTTACCAAGTCGCTTCTCAGGAGGCAACGTGATCAATCTCTTGATGGCAGTGTAGGTCACTGCACTATGCTTATTCATTCAGTCATTACCATCAAGTTGATTCCGACCCATAGTGACCCTACAGGACAGGACAGAACTGTCCCTGTGGGTTTCAGAGACTGCAACTTTGCGGAGCAGCTGGTGGTTTCAAACTGCTAACCTTGCAGTTAGCATCCCACCACATAAGCCCTATGCTATCATGTTCCTGTGGACTATACCTAGGAGAGCATAATAAACCATTTCATGAAAATGAATTCTGCATACCTTCTATCAATATTCAGATTAAATAAACATACCTCAAAAGTCCCAGCCTTTAGGAGGTTGACCTGGTCATGCTGAGAGAGATCTCTGAACCCTGGAATACGCTTTGCAAATTCCACCACTTCTTTCACTGCTGGGGTGAAGCTCATAGAAAACTCTTCCCAGATTTCATGCCCTGATTTATGAGGATCCACATATGGAGACTTACTCATTGGACAAACCTAGTATTTGCAAAACAGAAACGTTCTTAAATTGTGAGAGATAATAAAGTAATTCCAAAAGCAGCATCTCACCCACCAGAAACCCCCAACGTGAAAAATAAAGCACTCTGCGCTAAGTAAAATCTAACACTAGGGTTTTCTCCATGTGCTACTCTTGACTTACTATAGAAAGGTTATCATAACTAAATTTAAATAAGAATTCTGCAGTCTGCTTCAACAAGTTTCAGCCAAGGAAACTGGAAATGTTGTGCTCTGTAACACATGGGATCGCTACTGAATATGCCTTGGTTTTAAGCAAAAATATAACAATACATTTTTTAAACTTTTTGCACAGATTTTATCTTTAATTTTCAACACCATCTCCTTATGCTGGTATGTAGTGCTTTATGATTTTAAAAACAAACTCCTGTGTATGTGTATGTAATTCACAGCTCTGTGAGTTATTTCTTAGATGAAGAAATGAGACTTCTGAGAGGTTTAGTGACTGTTTCAAGTCACAGCCTAGGACCCAAAATCATATTTAGTTAATAATTCAACGCTAGTACTTTTTTTTCCCTAAGTAGGTAAAACTACAATGCTACAATTTCCAAAAGGAAAAGAAGAGGGTAGTGAAATACCTCCTTTTCTAAAGAGGTCACTAACCACTTATCAACAGTCAGATAACTACCGCCGTCTTCCACGTGTTCAATATGGAAATAATGACTAGGGACACCTTCTCAAGGGGAAACTGGGGAGCAGGGTGGAGGTGAGAGTCAGGAAGACAAAGAAATTATAAGAATACTAAAAAAAGGTGTAATACACAACACCTACTCTATCAGCAAAAATCAGCCCTTAAAGTCATCAAATCCAAAAAAGATCCCGGAATAGGATGATTCTCTAACTCTGGGGTTCATCTTAAGGAAAAGAATCTAAAATGCTAGCAGATCTTTCCCATGAAGGCAGCCACTGAGCCTAATTAAATATAAGGTTACCTTTGTAATCTTCCAGATTCACGGAATTAAATATTTGAAAAGGAAAAACATGTAAATACAAAGACGGGAGAGTTGACTGTTTTGAAAAGGAAAACGAAACTTTTCCTTTTAATCACCTGGCTGCAGAAAGTAAATGCCACGCCCTATCAGAGAACCTCAGGGTTTAAACTAGAAATGGTGCAGTCCTGTTGTTTTTCATGAAATTTTATCTGCATATGGATTTTTCATGTATACTGTTGTATGTTGTATAATGCATTTAAGCTTGAATGAAATTAAGATCTCATAGGATAAAATCAGAGAAAATCCTTTGAAACTAGATTAAAACATTCAAAATTCCCAAGCAATAAAACATCTGTTCTATATTCCAGGACCTTTTTCTAAGTAACATAACAGATAAAGAAATTATTTACATAAAAATCTAAGACTTACTGATCACGGCAAGCTAGAAGCTGGGCCCAGTGAAGAAATATCAAAGCTACCAAGTTAGCGAATGAACAGAATGTTTCCATTTTTAAAGGGAATCCCAAGACTTAAGAGGAACAGTTTTACACGATTCATATTATACATAAACTCTGAATCCCAATCATACCATCAGTCACATCACATGCTTGTACCAAGCTCTGTATAAATTTAGGTTATTTGGTAACTGATGCTTACTAGTTATTTGACCTAAAATCCTGCATAAAGGTGGTTCTGAGCATCTCTTTAATTTCCTGACCCGTCCCCCCATAGCGCTACATTCCCATGCCCCGAATAAAAGAAAACCCTCAACCCTTTTCTTGATACTAGGTGAGCAAGAATATTGATTTCACTGTACCAGGTGCATTCTCCCTCCAGTGTTGCACAAGTAACTGTTCTTGTTCTCATTCTGAGAAAATCCATCTACTGCAACTCTATCACATACTCTTTGAGGATAAGCATTGGAGAAGTTCATACAATGTCCATTTGCAATGCAAATGCCATGCCCATTTGAGTAATGCATTATACTCCTCCCTTTGTACTGTCCGCTGAGATGCTGTTGGCTCTCACTACTTGGAAAATGGCTGCTAAGCCCACTGCCACAATGGTCATGATTTAAGTTATACTGCTCCATGTTCTTGGGAATCCGTTCTCCTCTCTGGGACTGCATGGTTTCTATTGCATTTTCTCGCTGCTCCTGATTATACATAAAGGTATCCTTGTGGGCTCTGGTCACCATGCCAATCACTTCTTCCTTTGCAAACTCAGAAGAGGGAGAGGAGGAGTTCTTGATGTTGTCTTGCTCCAGCTGAGGCTTGGGTAGCAGCTGCTCCCGGGCTGGTAAGACTGTCTGTTCAAGATGCTCCACTAATGTGTCATTCTGCAAGTGACCACTCAACTGGCTGTTCATCATGGTCTTCATCGCACTTTGCATCTCAATTAGCATCCTCTGTTTTTCACGCTTAGGAATACGACCAAACCGAACAGCTATTGAAAAAAGATATTTAATATCAATATTCTAAATAAGACTGAATATAAGAGAGTAACAAAATTATCTCTGATAGACACGGCATCTAGTCAGCCAAGTGAATAAGGTCTACACGCTTCCAGCCCAAAGGGGTCAAAACTGGCTGGTTATGGTTTTTGGGTGTTTTTTTTTTAACAAACACCAAAGGGATTGAGTAGTAGAGGAGAGAGATCTTTCATTTTTCTCCCAAACAAAAACTAAGGAGATGATCTATCACTTTGGTACTTTATAAACTAAATCTAAGACAGAATATGAAATTAACTAAAGAAGACCACAGTTTGAAGCAGACCAGCATTACTACACAGCAAGTCAATGACAGGATTTTGTTCTCTAGAATGCAGGTCAGAGCCACATACCCACATTCATCAACGTCAATGGAAACCAATGGGCACAATCACACCCTGAACAACAGAACCCCTGTCAGTTTACTTCCTTGCCTGATTCTCAAACTCCAACTACTCAATGAGCTGCTCTTTGTTCCAGCTTCTTAAAAAAAGAAAATCCCTTAAAAGCAAAAGCACGGTCAATAGAGATGCAGTTATTTAGAAAATAAACTTACTGTTTTGTAATTAAAGTCAACGAAATGAAATAAGTAACAATGAGATTGTTCATCCTCTATTCTTTCGGAAGCTGGTCATAACCTGTTTTATGTGACCTGTTTTAACAACCCTAACCCTTGAGGGGAAAAAAGATGTCTCTTTCCAGTCTAAAGTTCAGACAAAGATGGTAACAATTCACTATGTCCACCCAGCAATAAGGCCTCGCTAATCTAATTATAGCCTCTCACATTATCACTAGTAAAGACAAACAATTTCACCATGCCTCTCTTCCTCTACTTCATAAATGATTACCATCATATCTTGTTCTTTTGGCTCAAGCTCAAAATCCATCAACCTTGGATTAGCATTTCTAGTTCTATGAGGAAAATATTAAAAATCAGGCAACTAAAAATCAAAACTTGGATGGATAAAATGACTCCATTCTTTATCCCTCTATCAGCAAGACACAAATGAGGGTATAATCTTCCCTAGGTTAATATCAGGTTCATTCTCAGCACTTCTTAATTAACCCCACTAGACTAATCCCTCTGAAACCTACTGTTAGTTAGAACAAAATGATACTATCTAAAAATAATTTCCCTTAAGCGCAACAGAAGAGTCAAATCTTCCAAGTCGCCCACAGACAATATTAACAGTTGCCCACAGTATCACCATTTGTGTCATGAGAATATATATGGGAGAATTGAGCAACCACTACCACTCCAGACCCAAATGCTTCCTTCAATTTTGAATCTTTTTTCAATGCAAATTAGGAGCCCTGGTGGCACTGGGGTTCTGGCGCTACTAACTAAAGGTCAACAGTTCAAACCCAACAGCTGCTCTCCAGGAGAAAAATTAGGCTATCTGCTCCTGTAAAGATTTAGTCTCAGAAGCCCGACAGAGTGGTTACACTCTGTGCTATAGAGTCACTGTGACTTGGAATCGACTCAATAGAAGTGGGTTTTCCATGCATTTATAACCTGAGCCCCAGAGTACATATCATGTAAAGGCTGGAAAGTTAAGAAGAAATGGGTTCTTCAGCAATTCTAAGTAATCAAGGAGGGCAGCCAAGGATTGCTACATTAAGAAAAAGTAAACACTATACATACTCTAAGTTTTTCCACATATTTTTTTAATGCAGTTTTTATGGTAAAATTAGGTGCCTCGGCTGATATTCGGATGGGCTTATACTCGAGTATATACAGTAATTTATGAAAGCTTTAGAGGAAAAAATATAGCTATTTACAAAAAAAACCAACAAAGATCATATTAAAATTTAACTAATGGACTAGGTGTCCTAATGGCATCAAAACGTGTTTTGTTTTGTGCTTTTCTAAAATCGGCTTAATTCTAAGCATAAAAATGGTAATAGGCTTCTAGTTCTGGGTTCATGCCCGGGAATAAAAGATGCTTTAAGAAAACACGCACTTTAAACAAGGCACATACCATCTCTGGACATTCCAACAGACAGACACTTTTTAAAGCGACACTGCTGACATCGGTTCCTATTCATTCTCATTATAGAGCAGTTTTCATTCTTCAGGCACTTCTTGTACTGGATGTTTTGCTGAATGCTCCTTCGAAAGAAACCCTAAGAACAAAAAAGGATAAATTTTAAAACATCTAGAAGAATTCCTTATAAGTACTGCCCACAAGCCTAATGTTCTACTATCACTAGGAAGTAACTCGGTCTTAAAACAAAGAGAAATGTGACACAGTGTACCTGGGCACTCACCAGGTCAATAAGCACCTACACCTGGGAGCCACAGGAAACCCTGCCTTTGGTGTTTACTCCACTCACCCCCATGAGACACTTTACTGTCTCATACCTTTAATCACATATAAATCCTAAAACTACTGAAATGAGTGATTGATTCCTAAAGAGTTGACAGTGGTAGAGAGCTGTAATTCCCTCACTAGAACTCAATGAGTTTTTAATTAAAAAGCTTGGTCTTTCCATATTTGTTATCTGCTGACATCCAAAGGACTTACTTATATGTGCCAGATGTTTCTGGCTACATGTCTGCAACAGGTGTTATTCCACACACCAAACTATGTTCCAGGGAAAGACAGTTGCAAAAGCTAAATGGTGACTAACAGCTACATGTAGTTCAAAAATAATTTAACCACATGCTGTGTGATAACAATCTTTCAAGATCTCTCGCTTACTGATTTCAAGAACAGAAAACTCCAGAACACAATTACCAAAGTATACCATCTTTTCCTTTAAAAAAAAAAAAAAAGACTATTAATCACCCATAGCATGAATTTATAGCAAGCTATGGGGTACAATAATTCCAGATTTTATTACTGTGGAACTATGCTGTGTGTGTCATCAGATTTGCTTCAAAGAGACCCATTGTGACAGACCTATTGTTCCACAGGGTTTTCTACACTGAAATCTTGATAGAGGAGCACACTGCCAGGTGTTTTCTTCCCAGTGGCTAGAGGGTTTGAACTACTGACCTTCCGATCAAAAGCTAAGCACTTAACCCTTGCATCACTAGCCCTTGTTGGTTCTATGCTATTACCAATGAAATAATTGGTTTTAGGCACTAGAAATTCTGAGAGAGACAAAGAAAGTATGTGTGTTTATCAAAGACAAAATAGTTATGTATATATTCCTCTAGTTCTTTAATGCTTCCTCCTCCCACCATCATGACCCCAGTGCTCTTACAAATCTGGCTAGACCAGAGAAGTACACTGGTACATATAAGAGCTCTCAACACACAGAATCCAGGACAGATAAACCCCTCAGGACAATGAGAGTAGTGATTACCACAAGGGTAGGGGAAAGTAGAGGGGGTAAAGGGGGAACCAATAGCAATGTGACATACAACCCTCCTCCCCCAAGGGGAACGAACCGACAGAAACATGGGTGAAGGGAAATAGCAGACGGTGTAAAAGATGAAAATAAAAATAGTTTATAAATCATCAAGGGTTCACGTGGGTGGGTGGGTGAGTAAGTAATGGGAGCTGGTATCAGGGGCTCAAGTAGAAAGAAAATGTTTTGGAAATGATGGCAACATATGTACAAATGTGCTTGATCCAATTGATATGTAGCATTGTTATAAGAGCTGTAAGAGCCCCCAATAAAATGATTTTTTTTAAAGTTTTGTGTGTTTACCAAAATACACCGTTGGTTTTACGCTTTTGCTTTTCTATTAAGAAAACTACATCACCAATGATTACTGCAGTTTTGTTTAAAAAAACAGTATTTGTAGTTTGTTTGTTTTAGCATTGAGCAAGGGCTGCATCTATATGAAATACTGACTAGTCTTTAAAAAAGGAGCCCTGGTGGTGCTGTGGAGTAACTGTTGGGCTGCTACTACGAGGTCAGCAGTTCACACCCACCAGCTGCTCCATGGAGGAAAGACGAAGCTGTCCTCTACCAACGATTGCAGCTCGGAACCCCTATGTAGGGTCAGTGTGAGATGGAACAGACTCCTGGGCTTGGTCTGGATTAGTCTTCTAAAAGAAGCCCAGGTGGCACAACAATTAAGTGCTCAGCTGCTAACAGAAAGGTTTGATAGTTCAAACCCAGCAGGTCTATGGGACAAACGCCAAGCAATCTGCTCCCCAAAAATCACAGCCTAGAAACCCCTTGAAGGTAGTTTGACTCTGTCACAGCGGGTCATTATGAGTCTGACTAACTCACAGGCAGCCAACAACATTCTTCTGAAAATGAAGTGACCAGCCATTAAAAGCTACTAATTCACTGAAAGCCACCTAGAAAATATTTCCTCTTTGATCATCTATATTCATTACTCATCATACACTGCCAAAGTGGAATCCTGCCTATGGCTTTAAGTCAGAAAACTGCAAAAATTAGGTGTCTTGGCATGTTAACTTTAGATACTCCAGAAAGGCATTTGGCCAGATTTGTCTTTAAAAAAGAGACTCCCTGGGTATAATTAGGAAAGTACAGACTCCCTCACTTAGATTCTAACACTCGAGAGCAGGGGTCCTCAAACTTCTTAAAACAGGGAGCCAGTTCACTGTCCCTCAGACCCGTTGGAGGGCCGGACTATAGTTTTTAAAAGAACTATGAACAAATTCCTATGCACACTGCACATATCTTATTTTGAAGTAAAAAAACAAAAGGGAGAAAAAACACCCGGCGGGCCAAATAAAAGTCCTCGGCCGGCCACATGTGGTCCGCTGGCCGTAGTTTGAGGACCCCTGCTCTATAGTGATAACTAAGAAACTTACAAATGAAATGTAGCTTTCCCTAGTGCCTCAACTTATATCTAAGATTATTTCACTTACTTGGCATTACTTCTGAAGACACCGCATTTTCACAAGTATCAAGGATTTATTCCCAGCTACTTTACTACCTGACATGTCAGATGTGAAAGGATCCGAGGAGACCTAATTCAAAGTTTAGTTTAAACTAAGTTCCAGCAAGACACTGGAGCCTGCTGTTTTGCTCCTTTGCCATCTCCCTACTAGCTAAAAGAGTGGATGACACACAGCCACTGGCTTCATACCACCGTAATGTGTGAGATAGCAAATGCGTTTGAATCCAAATCTTAATACTTTCACAGAATTAAAAATAGTAATTTTCAAAGCAAGTTATGTTTATGCACTGCATAAAATGTTTTATATACTACATAAGTGTTTATGAAGTATAAGTGTCTGCACACTGCATAAAATGCTTAAAGCTTAAGGAGCAGCTGATTTGTCTCCCCCTTCAGACTATCAGATATGGAAAATGGAAATCCCAATTTCTCTAATCCCAGAATCACTACCTTAAAGAAACAAAAGCATGCTTTACCTTACAGCCTTCACAAGCATGAACTCCATAGTGGAATCCTGACGCCACATCCCCACAGACTTTACACAGGAGAACCATGCCACTAAATTCTAGGGCACAAACAGACAGAGCAAAAAGCTAAACATGGTTGTGTTCATGAAGATTTCTTTCCACTGAATATTTTGTTGAGTACATTTTTAAAAAATCACAAATCTACTTTCACAAAGTGAAAGAAATATATTTATACCAAATTATCAAATTAAAAGGATCCTAATTTTCTTTAAAGCACATCTTAATGAAGCAGCCAAAAATTCCTCAAAGAGCTGAGTTTTTCTTTTCCTGATTTTAAATAGACACTGAAGTTTTGTGAATCAGGAGTTACTTTAAACCAGATGCAAGATCAAAATTAAGAAAGCAATCATCAGGAATAAGAATTAATAAGTCAGGCAAAGACATATAAAGATGAAAGGGACTGTATCTTCACAGACAGCTGTGCAAACACTGCATTTCATACCCCTATGGGAGGCATTCCTTCTGACCCTCTCCTGTGGCAGTTCTTACCTCCATGCTCACTCAGGGCTCCAATCACACTACTCATTTGGTTATCTCAATCCTGCTGTGTTTCCTAACCCCCAAAGCTCTCAGCTCCCACTTCAGGAACGTGCACTCCTGGCCACAAGTAAGTACTCTTCTCTGGACAAGATTCAGTACCAAGAGTCCAGAAGAAAGATTACCTGTGAAAATGTTGGGAAGGAGGCACGCTAGAGGAAACATGGTCAGGCAGAGTACATAACCACCTGCCTTGGTTATGTACAAAGATCAATTATGAAGTCACTGATTTCTGAACTGTGACTACACAAAGGAAGAAAAAATTGAAGGAAAAGTCTCCCAACTGAAAAAGTTGACCAAAAAGTACCCTCTGCAGTTACCAGTGGCAATCTTTACAACAACTTACTTGTCACTCCACTATGATTCTTTGTCATCCCTGGTACACTTGATTTGCTTGCTTTCATAGAACAATCTATTCGATCATTCTTCAAGATGCCTTCAATATTGGAGAGATCACCATTCTTGGGATTACCATTGTTATCCAAGTTAGAGCTATTTGGAGAAGATGGAACAGAAGAAGACTGGAAACTATTCTCAGAACCCTCGCTGTGACAAGAGGCAGGGCTTGAGGCTGAACTGGAAGAACTGATATAGGCGATCACACTTCCTGGAAAGGGGGGAAATCAGGTAATTAGATATATGTATTTTTGAAAATTAAAAAAGTCAGCAACTTTAGAAATGGACTACTGATATTAAATACTTGCTTACATCAAAATTAACCCAAACCCACTGCCATCTTGATGACTTCAACTAAAAGTGACCATACATCGTTTCCAAGACTGTACATCATTTCAGAAACAACCTCGTCTTTCTTCTTAAGAGTTTGAACCACTGACCTTTGGTTAGCAGACCAAAGTCTAAAGCAAAGCACCTCCAGGACTCCTACGCTGAAAGTAGAACTCGCTTATTTTCTTATTTCTTACTACTTATTCCTACTTTCATATACTTTCAAAGTACATATAACTCCTACTGACCCAGAAAGTAAGAAAGCTCACACTGGCTTATTCTGAGGTGCACAAGCCAACCCAAATCTAAGGCTTTTCATTTCCCAAGCTTGTCCTAAAACAATGATTGAAAAACGTTCCTTAGTGACTGTACAAACTGCTTTGGCCTTGAAGAATACAGCTCTAACCCTTCTGCCTTATCTCGTATACCTTTATATGATAAAATCCTTGAAACAATATCATTTGTCTCTGCCCAGCATCTGAATAAAACACAGATTAATCAAGAACACATTTAGCATTTGGAATGCTGGGTAAGTAATTTATCTTAAATGGGGAACCTGACATAGCTGCTGCTACTAAAACCCTTTGTCATCGAGTACCTATTGGCTGTCAAGTATAAAATGACACAATTTCATACCACATTCCATCCACACAGCAACTCTGTGAATTAACTTCCATTAACCCCATTTTATAGATCAGTGGTTCTCAACCTTCCTAATGCCTCTACCCCTTAATACAGTTCCGCATGTTGTAGAGACCCCAAATCATAAAATTTTTTCATTGTTACTTCATAACTGTAATTTTGCTACTATTTTGATTTGGGCAAGCCTTGTAAAAGGGTTATTCGTCCCCAAAGGGTTCGCGACCCGCAGATTGAGAACCGCTGTTATAGAAATACTCAAGAGTTCAGAAAAGTAAGAGAGTAAGGTAGTATACCAGAAAGGATTGCTACGAAAGTCACAGAAATCTTTATTAAACAAAAATACTAAAATGTAAAGTTACTGTTTCTCAGAATACCCTCCATCTCTCTAGCGCTTACCAAAGAATTCTTGCTCTTGGATTTACACATCAACACAACAGTTTGGGGCATCATCCTCTAGGGACTCAAATGGTGTTCTTTGATTTTGAGAACAAAAAGTCTGGAAGGGCAAGGTCAGGGCCGTAGGGTGGATAGGATTGGTTTCCCAATGAAGTTCTCTTGAGATAGCCCTTGCTACTACCCTCAAAAATGAGCAGGTGCATTGTCATGACAGAGTAAAATTCATCAAAGAAAGAAAAAAGACATGGGTAGGGAGGAAGAGGGCACTAACTCACCCAAGGGGAGGTTATTGTTTATATCTCCACAGGAGAGGGAGAGAGGGGCCAGATTTCAACCCTGTGCGCCAAGACCCGAATGCACCATACCGGCAAGAAGCAGGGAACCAATAGGTCTGCGGGGCCAACTCCAATCCCAACTACCTAGGTGGACACACACACACTACCCGGCCCCATCCCACCCCCAGAAGAATGCACTTCAGAAGACAGAACTGAAGCTACAGCTCAGGGAGAGGGGCGCGTCTGACCACAGCACACAGGAACAGAGGAAGAGGGAAGGAAAGAGAAAGTAGAACACATCCTGGCCCACCTACCACCAAGGATGATATTCCTGCTCAGAACAGCCAATGCACAGAGAAGACCAGAGGGTCAGCCCCACCACAGGACATGACATTCCTCAATGACCCATAGTGCTACGGGGGACAACACTGGAGACACAATGTGGGAACTGTGCCTGATCTGACCTTATCAATCTGACCCCACCACACTGGGGAAAAAACACTAAGGGCTGCTACAACAGAGCAGCAAGGGGAGCAAAACAATGAAGTCCCTGGGGAATACCAAAAATAGACTTTGGGGCCAGGGTGTGGCACCCCATCAGACTCCACCGGAAAACACTCCTAATGGTCAACAAACAGATCTGGGTTTTGTTTTGTTTTTTGGTTTTTTTGTTCATTGGTTTTTGTTGTTTTGGTTTTTTTGTTTTGTCTTGTTTTTGTGATTATTGTCCCTGCATGTCTATCTAGATAAGACAGGCAGGATAAACAATCCAGGAGAAAACAGTGGGACCACAGTTATGGGTTCTGGAGAGAAAGAAGGGTAGTGTCGTCAAACCCAAGAACAAGGGAACAACAAGTGATCTAAAATCAATGGCAAGGAGGATAGGATGCCTGGTGGGGCTTGATCAAGGGCAATGTACCTAAAAGGAATTACTGAAACCCAAATGAAGGCCAAACATGACAGTGGGGCAAGAGAAAAATAAAAGGAAATAGAGGAAAGAACTAGGAGGCAAAGGGCATTTATAGAGGTCTAAATCAGTGGTTCTCAACCTTCCTAAAGCTGCAACCCTTTAAGACAGTTCCTCATGTTGTGGTGACCCCATATGTGGGCGTATCTGCATGTGGGCAGACCCGTCTGAAGAAGGATAGAGGAGAGGTGTCTCGGTTCCCAAGACTATCTGAAATATGGTCTTAAGCAAATCCTGTGAAAAGGTCATTCGTTCGACCCCCAAAGGGGTCGCAACCCCAAGGTTGCGAACCACTGTTCTAAACACAGGCATGTACATATGTAAACATATATATAATGATACGGAAATAGATCTCTGTACATATATTTATATGTTAAGTATTAAGGTAGCAGACGAACATTGGGCCTCTACTCAAGTGCTCTCTCAACACAAGAACTGTTCTAATAACCCAGCAGTCTGTGAGCTCACCTTCCCATTCTGTGATGCTGAAGACAAAATGGGTACATAAGCAAATGTGATGAAGAAAGCTGATGGTGCGGGCTATCAAGAAATATAGCATCTGGGGTCTTAAAGGCTTGAAGATAAACAAGCAGCCATCTAGCTCAGAAACAAAGCCCACATGGAAGAAGCACACCAGCCTATGTGATCATGAGGTGTCGATGGGATCAGGTATCAGGCATCAAAGACCCAGAACAAAATCATA